TTGCCAAGTTAGAGACGTATTCTTCTGAAAACTTTAGTTGTTTAATCCATTCTAGTAATTGTATTTTTTTTATCCGAGTATAACGGGGTTTTGGGTATTTTCTAGAGTTTTCATCTATTTCTAATTCGAGCCGTCGACAATATAGCTTTAAGTCTTCTCTTGAATTTGCATTGTCTTTTGTTTTTCCCGGGACGTTCATAATTGTATTAAACACATTGTCGAAGACATTTTTCTCAATGTGCATGACATCCAAATTATGACGTATTAGATTAGAACTCTAATAAGGTAGGTCCCAAAATATACTACGTTTTTTTCAATCACAATATTTAGATATATTGTTATTATACTCATCGGATCCCTGTTTCGTTACTTTCAACAAACCCCAATTGTTTAATTCTTGTAAAATTTCAATTCCGGACTTGATCGGTGGAGCAATGTCCGTAACAACTGAATTTCTCTTGAACGCGAGTCCTATTTCGTCCGAACGGATGGCGTAGTGAAAAAAAATTTCGATGGCAATCAAACCATGAAGTTTTCCTGTCATTTCGAAGGGTGAAAGCATCAGAATTTTCCATACAATACGTGCATGCTTGTCTTACCTGCGAGTACTCCAACCGGATAACATTGAATATGCGGGAAAGTCACTAATTGTCCACATGACAACGACTCTAATCCGAAAATTATCTTTACGGGACACATCATAAGTAAGAGCACCTATTTCCCATAATTCTATCAACTCTTTAATTAAGGGTTGTAAGTATACGTCTAAATTGATTTTAGGATTTTTAGGACCAGGGACGATAACGATTAAGAACATATATTCTTCTTTCATACATTTTCATGGTGACAAATTGTATGGCGTTACAATGACGAGGCCACGGAGAATATTGTTGTCCAAACTTACCAAAAGGTTGAAACCCATCGGTGCAAACACCTAATCTAACATTCCTAATTTCTGATGCAAAAGAAAGATGTGTTTGGTCAAAATGTCGTCATGCGAAGGAGTCGAACAATGACGCATGACATTGGGCTCACACACGTGTTGCGCATGCCATGTCATGTCATTAGCGGTGGCATTTGATGCATACATCCTTTGTAAGCGTGGGGTTATCGGAAAAGAATATATTTTTTTATAGGGAAAAAATGTTTGTCTAATCGAACCCCTCCTAGGATTTCGATATTGAGGATGATCACATATTTTACAAGTGATTCTTTCGTTGTCCCGACTCCAATAAATCATGCAATCATTAATGCAACGAGTGGATCTTTTCAATGGGTAAACCCATCATTTCTATCATTTTTTATACTATAAAAGTCTTCGACATACGAGTTATCGGGAGGCATCAACTCTTTCATAAGTTGACATAAATCGTCGTAACACCTCTCGGAAAAATGATGCTCAGACTTGAGATACAACAAACGAGACATTGCGGATAATTGCGAATGGTTTTCCGACCCGAGCCATATTTCTCTATTCGATGCATCTAATAAATCATAAAATGCTTGTGCGAAGGGTTTGGGTCTTCGTACGTATTAGACGGATTAAAATATGGACCAGTTGCATCCATCACCATTGTGTGGTATTGATCATCTTGACGATCATCACATATTTATTCTTGTTCAACATTATTAAATGAATTGTCATTAATTGCTAAATTATTCTCTCCATGACGTCTCCACACATAATACCCGGACACAAACCCATATCTCGACAAATGATACTTAACGGTATTAGGGTTTTCATAACTACGATTTTGATATTTTTTTTGTTTACATAGACATCGTATCTTATTTTCATCCATGCACTCGTGGATGACTAACCGCAAAATTAATAAATTCATTAACCCATTCTACAAAACGCTCATTTAATAATCCACCATTTAATCTAAAGTCAATTCAAGAGCGATCCAAATTCATTTTAAATAAAATAGTAATCAAGTAATTGTATTAATTGTTTATGTAATTACTTAAAACACTTTTATTACTAAATCTCAATAATTTTTTTGTTACACATAAGTTATTTTCTAAATAAACAAGCTAAGTTTATATCAAATTTTTAAATACAACTTAATTATTTATTTAATTACTAACAATTACAAATATTTCGATAACTTTATTTTTTATCTATTTAATATTTATTTCTGAAAAAAATTTTAAATACAACTTAATTATTTATTTAATTACTAACAATTACAAATATTTCTAATAACTTTATTTTTTATCTATTTAAGATTTATTTCTGAAAAAAAAATTAAATACAACTTAATTATTTATTTAATTACTAACAATTACAAATATTTCTAATAATTATATTTTTTGTCTATTTAATATTTATTTCTGAAAAAAATTTTAAATACAACTTAATTATTTATTTAATTACTAACAATTACAAATATTTCTAATAACTTTATTTTTTATCTATTTAATATTTATTTCTAAAAAAATTTTAAATACAACTTAATTATTTTTTTAATTACTAACAATTACAAATATTTCTAATAACTTTATTTTTTGTCTATTTAATATTTATTTCGACAAAATTTTTAAATACAACTTAATTATTTATTTAATTACTAACAATTACAAATATTTATAATAACTTTATTTTTTATCTATTTAATATTTATTTCTGAAAAAAATAATATTTTTTTAATAATGTAATAAAACTATATTCAACAAGTATATATTAATTTGTTTAATACGACTTATTTTTAAAATTAATTAATATGCATTTAACATAGTTTTCATAAATTTATTTTTTATCTATTCAAAATAATTTCCAAAAAATGCTATTTTTTTCTTAATTAATATTGTAATTGCTTATCTATTTAACTAAATGAACAACTAAATATTTAATCTTAATATTTAATCAACAAAATAACAATATATTACAATTTAATTAATATTTAATTTATTGATTTATTTTGTACTAACCTAACGCTTTAACTTAATGAACTAGGAATAAATAAACTTACTAATGTTTTCAATAAATTTTGAATTACTTAAGTAAATTAACAATTAGTAGCTACACTAATAACAATAACAATAACAATTTAAATAAAAACATAAAATAAAATATAATAATTATATTTTCTAACTAAAAAAATTAACAATAAATTAAAGTAAGTAAATTCTTAATTAACAATCAAATTAATTCAATCAACAACTAAAAATGAAAATAACACAAAATTATAATATTAACAATAATATTCAATTAATAAATAATTAACAACAACATTAACATAACAATTAACAATTAACAATTAACAATTAATATTAAATTAATAATTAAACATTTCAATTAACTATCACAATTTACACTAAAATAACACACCAAATAAATTTTAATTAAATAATCAAGTTAAAAAAACACATGCAATAAACAATCAATTCAATAATTAAACTAACAATAATAAGTAATTGAACACAAAATAAAAAAAATCAAATTATTTAACTTAAATAAATAACTGAAAAAATTAATAATTGAAAGGAGGGATTAGATTTAGGTGGACTCGTCAGCAAGAGAAGGATGAGAGGAGGCGACAACCGCGAGTCAAAAACCTCGTCGGAGTATGGTCGTCGGAAAACGACGGCTTCAACGACAGAGAGAAAGATTGAAAGGAGGAGGCAAAGAGGGAAGAAAGATGGAGATTTTTAGGAAAAAAAAAGCTTTGAGGAAAGAGAGGAGAGATTTGGAGCAAAAAAAAGGCGGATTTACTCGTTGTCGGAGGAGAAGAAGAGAGGAGAAGAAAGCAAAATTGGCGGATTTCGTTCGATTGGTACTTATAAATAGGTAAAGTTTTTAGCGATGGTCTAATCCGCGCTAAACATAAATTTAAAATTAAATTTGACCATTTCCCACCAATGGTTTACTTTTAGCGACGTATTTGTGACCGTCGTTAACGTTTCGTTTGCAACGGTTATTTTACAACCGTTAAAAAAAACAAAACTCATTAAGTTACCAACGGTGACGGTGGCTAAACCAAATATTTTTGCAACGGTTTAAATATACCAAACCGTTGCTAATCTTCGATCCGTTTCAGCCCTAACCCATTTAGTAACGGTTTAGCGACGGTCTGCGATCGTCGCTAAACCGAATATTTTTGCAACGGTTTAATTATACCAAACCGTTACTAATCTTCGGTCTTTTTTAACCTGGACCCGGTTGGTAACGGTTTAGCGACGGTGACAACCGTCGCTAAATGTGTTATTTATTTACAACGGTTTTTTTTATAAAACCGTTGCAAAAATATTAAGTAACATTTAGAAACGGGTTAGACCGTTGCTAATACATATAAATCGTTGCTAACTTTGCAACGGTTTCTTATGTTTAAAAACCGTCGCTAAAACGGTTAGCCTTTAAAATTAGCAACGAAATTTTAGATCGTTGCTAAAAAACGATCGCAAATTATAATATTTGTAACCGTTTTTTAGACCGTTGCTAAAATTAGTAAAATCGTTGCTAATATTTGTCTTTAGCAACGATTTTGTGATCGTCGCTAAAGGTTCGTCGCTAAAACATATTTATCTTGTAGTGAACTGATCTTCCTAGCTAGTCCATCAAACTCTTTAAATGGTCCATCATTGACCAGATTTATCAATTACTAGTATTAATTAAGACTTGGCAATTAAATTGCAATTGCTCCATCAAGCTGCATATGTAATTAGTTTGGTCCTCCACACATATCCATGCATATACAATTCCATCGATCGTTATCACATAGGAGTAGCATCTAACCCTACTAGAGCTGCGTCCTGCATGGACCGGTTTACTTTTTCAGCTTTTGAATGTACTGATATACAGAAATTTCACAACTTTATTGATACACACTATGCATGGTGGATATCCACAAATACACATGAAAGATAGTAATTATAATCAACCTGCTTCATGGAGTACAGTTTATGTGAATATATAAAGCCTTAATTACCGGGCCTACAATATATTTTTCATGCCATGGGAGCTTTTTCAACATAAAAACATATATATCTGCTCCGACTTAATGTCCAGAAGCATTGCCTGGAGAGGAATGACCAGCCCCGGGACTGTGGCCTGGATTTGTCGGCCTAAAATCATCACTTTCTGCATCAGCATAGTCCGGCCCGGGAGCGATGGGTCCTGAACGTGCTTCGGACACTAAAAGGTCGCGGTGCAAGGTGAAACTGCTGGTGTTCTCCCCTGTCTTCAATTGCCTTCCCTCACTGGAAGTGATCCCATAACAAAACACCAACAAAATCATTAAAGTAATAGTGAAAATGAGCTTACCTTTGGCCATGGCAAAGAGGAAGAATAATTCTAATTAATTGACGAAAACCTCAAAGAAGACTAATTAAACTTGAGATGAGAGATATAGAGAAAGAGAGAGGCGGTGTTAGAGTAGGATGCCTGTAAGCTATTGCCAGGGTTGGTATATATAGACAATAGGAGAGGTGCTGTAATGGTGCGAATTACCACACAAAATGCAATGGGAAAAATTGTCAAGTTGATTTCAAAGTTCTTCATGATTATGTTCCCCGAGATTCTCTTTGGAAGGAACGGTTTGAGTATCTCTATAAGTTGCTTGAGGTACTTTCTTTACTGTTTTTGCATGTACCATGCATCCAATATTATACAATTCTTTTTTCATTGAAAATGTTAATGCTAGAACGAAAAATATAACTAAGATAGTGATGAAAACTTGCACGCATGCACTTGCTGAGTGAGACTTTTCTGGTGTGCATGCATCCAATTTTAAATTTGACTTTGCGATTGATCCTTGAATATGCCTTAACAAGTTCCTGCACTGACTGTTTATACATCATACTTTCACTTGCTAGCTAGTAAGCTGCAAGGATCATTCAATTTAAAAGTGATGTCGCTAAAATAGGGCATTTTCATTGGGAAATTTAATTGCAGATATTTCTTGGGAATCAGAATGAACGACTGGTACATAGAACCATTCGTTGCTAAGAAGACTGATAATTTCTAAAACATTAAAGAATGACCTCGTTCTGATCAGTCTTCATAGTGCATTCTAAGCAAAATCTTATGTAGTTGGTTCCAGTTCCGTCCTGATTCCTTACCAGTGACATAAATCGATCTCATCATTCTTGTTTGTGTGTATGTGTGTTGGCTAGCTAGCAGCTGATTCTTGGTTGTCATCTATTGTTTTCTTGCATAGTTTCAGTGATATATGTACGAGTCTAGCTTACAATATTCTACCATATTCATTAATGCGCATTAACTAGTATATCATCATCCCAGCATTTGGTGCGTTAGTTTAACCATTCAATCTATTAGTAATTATTTTAAACTAAATATTAATTATATATATAAATATATATGCACCGTGATGCTTTAAAGCTGGAACTAGCAATATTCAGTAGGTACGTAGCATCCTCAAAAAAAATGCTTTTGACTTGTTACAAGCTGCCCCAAGTTTTCAAGGATAGTTAGATTTTCTACGAATTAATCATGCATACCCACCTTGACTGTTGCCTCACATTGGATGGCTGCGATAAAAGGAATCGATGTCTATGAATATACAAGGAAAAATCAAAAGAACATTTGTCATATGTATATAGCTATATTGGACCTTTACCATGTCGTTGCTTGATCGATCAATGAAAAAATATAGCTACAGAGATCCATTGGTTATTATGATAAGAATCAACGCAATAGATTCTGTGGGGTTCTGACTGACTGAAAAATCTTCTTCCCATGTGAAAGAAATTTCTAACACTAGTAACGCACATTGAAGCCCTTATATTGGCCATGATTCCTGGTACATTTCCAGTGTAAATTGTTAAGCATGACTTGTTCTCTTTAAGTCCGGATACATAGGGCATGTTATTTACGTAGTCTCATCACCCACTAATTAAGGTCATGAAGACTCGTGATTTTTTTATACAACGAGTTTGAAAAACTTTGAAAAAAGAAAATATTCAGATTGAGCACTCATAGTATATGCTATAAGAATAAGAATTAGGTGTACTTAAAATTAGGATTAAATTTACTTCAAATTAAAATACATTGATTCCAATGATAATGAAATTTTCTCTTCATCTATGGACATAGACAGAGATAGTTGAACCACACGTGAAACATGGTACCATGTGATTTTTTTTTTTTTAATTAGTCCTTAGATCCATGCTTGCGATCCTAACTTAAACAAAATTTTGCAGATAACATCTAAGATTTTTACTAGGTGATAGAAAGATAGTCCAGCAGATAGCATTAGGGATTTTCACGAGGAGGAGGTCTTAGATCGATTAAGATTTGGAACTTCTACTAAGATGTCTAAGTTGGAAAAAAAATGAAAAAGAAAAAGAAAATTGCGTACAGCATACAGTACCTGCGAATTAAAAGTGCCCCTTAGGAAATGGAAACACCACAAGTTAATACGGTTATCAGTCATGAATGAACATGACTTTTAATGCATTTATTGGCAAAAGAGGATGCATCTAGATACAATAATTAAAAATATTACATGTAGTCTGGATTTTTGAACCTAAAGATCAAAAAAAAAAAAAAAAAATTCACATGTAATAAAACCAATGCTATCTGGAAATGAGTTGAGTTGATTGATTAATTACCTGATTGGTTTTTATTCCCTAGCTAAAAAATATGACCTCAACGTCAATGGTTTGAAGCAAGGAATTAATTGTATTAGCAGAAATTAATAGAACATCAACTGATGTTAGCTGACAGGTTAGCAGAGTCTGTTGGGTCTAATTATCCATTAAACCAGATTGTTAGAGCCCCAGAACCTAGAAAACTGCTTGTAGAAGACTCTGAAGCTGGTTAAATGATATCAGAGGAATGCAAGTGCATATTATATAATAATCCTAGTCCAGGTCCGCTAAACCTCCTATTTAAAAGAAAACAATCAGGTTACTAAATGCAGGTGATCAATGACATGATCTTGCCAAGTACGTGGTGATCTCCTACTTACAGAAAAGCACCATGTAAATAAAATGGTCTTGGAAACAAATATCTTGAAGGATTAGCCTCAATTTTTAAATCATATGATTAATGAAGTTTAATTAATACTGAAATGAAGATTTGGTGATCAATAATTGAAGATCTTGATGCATTACTAAAAGTGCCATTGATCGTGACTAAGTGCGCACTAATCTTTCAAAGCTTTTACCAGTAAAAGAAAGGTTTAGAAGCTTTCAAACCCCACAGAAATCCACATGGATCCAGAATGGTCTATGTCAGGACTACTGTACAATCCTACAGAGGGGAAAGAAAGTCAAATGAAAACATTATGTCTTTTTGCCCTCGAATGTTCCGTGTCCCAATCTTCCTTCTTCTGATTGTACAATTCTAGTTGAAATTCAAGAGTTATGGTGGCTGGTTGGCTCCTCAGGTTGGGGAAGTTCATTTAACCATCAGTTCGTTTGGACCTAGAAATGAGCAGTGTCCGTCACTAACTATCAAATTGTGGGATGAGGAATTCAGCGAGACAGCAACTTCAACGTCTGTTCAAAGAGAAAAGCAATTACTTTAGCCGTCAAATTCTAGCCGTTGAAAGAAAAACGCATCAGTTAAGGTATCCAAGGAATCTTTTGAAAAGGGCCCGCCAACAGGTTCTTTTATTTCAAAGGATTTCATTATGATGTTTTTTGTGGATACAAATAATGAATTGAAGGAAATTTACATGTTTCAAAAGAGGAAAAAAAAAGAAAAAAGGAAAATACTTGTTTTAGTCTTTTTTTCTTTTTTAGCTAACTAAACACCCACAGAAGAATCCATCCTTAAAAACGGAAATAAAAGAATTGCTGCATCAAGAGAATCTGAGTAAATTATAAATTAATCTATTTAGTTTTGAAAAATGAATTATTTAGTTTTTTATCTTCTAAAAACTAATTTTTTACTTTTTATTTTTTAAAAAATTAATAAAAAAATTAAAATAAAATAATATTAAATTAAATATATAATTATTGATAAAAAAATTATTATTGATGAAAAAATTAAATAATAGCCATCGGGGGAGCCCTAGCTGGCAACGATACTTTTTGGGTTTGGTCCAGATTTTCCACTTGTTCACGTTTCTCACTGGATCTCAATATGCTTCCAACTTGCTCTAGTTGGAGCCATTTGCCAGTTGCACTGTTTGCAGCAAGCAAATACACACCGGCTAGCGTGACTTTTTCCCCCGTATGGCCACGTGTATTTTCTTCCATTGAATTGAAAAGGACAGGAGATGATAGTTCACAAAATACACTTAAAGTGGGTTGACATGTGGGCCAGTGCGGCACAACACTAACCTTGTAATTCGGTTTAAAGTCTGGGGACGATAAAAGGTAGGCTGGCAGACAAAACATGTTTTACAAAATGACACAACGAATATGCATTGGGCTAGCCTAGCAAGGCATGACTCACTTCGCTTCACACCACCACTTTTTTTTTTTTTTTTTGGACAATTACACTCTTAAGTGGATTGCCTAAAGTTTAATTTCTTTTAGTTTTGTACTAGTTTGATTCTCGTGTTATACTATGATTGGATAATCGTTAGATATATAAGGTTAGTAATTCGTATGATATAATACGGATAAAAATCTTATTTATTGTAATTAATATAAATCAAATTTATTTATTAAGCAAAATCATTTGATTTATATATATTTGTTAATAAAATAATCAATAATAGTAGCATAAAAAAGTTGTATTGGAATAATTGAAAGGTTATTTCAAAATATTATTTTTATTATTTTATTTAAAAAATATTAATTTTAGAATATAAAAAAAGAATAAATAACAAATAATTTGTGTTATGTGTATAGATACATAATTAATTTCTAACAAAACTAATGATATATTTTTCAATTATTTTATTTTAAAAAATATTGATTTTAGAACATGAAAAAGAATAAATAACAAATAATCGGTGTTATGTGTGCGGATACGTAATTAATTTGTAACAAAACTATATATATATATTGTGATCATACTTAGTAGATTCGAGTATATAGTATACACAATTTTTTTTAAAAAAAAGGCCATCTAAGTGGTATGAAATATATTAAAGCCAAAAAATTGAAATAAAAATATTACAAAATTGATTCTCATAAATTTAACTTCTTAATTTATGATGAAAGAGATTATTGAATCGCAAATTAAATTATAAATTAGTTCATCTTATTTTGAAAAATAAATAAATTAATTATTTTGGTTTCAAAAATAAATTATTTAGTTTTTTTCAATCGGTGTTGATTATGAATAATTTATTTTTTTATTTTAGAAAAAAAATTCTCATATTTTTACTTATTTTTTATTCTTTCTCTATTTCTAAAAACAAAAAATAAAACAATTGAAATAGCAAAAAGAACCAAAAAAATTAGTTTTTGAACTAAAGAGACTAATGGTGTAATGTATTCGGATACATAATAAATTTTCAATAAAACTAATGATATATATATATATATCATTAGCTTTATTGAAATTAATCATGATAATATATTAAAATTAATCAATTGAAATAAAAACAACTACAAAATTGGTTCTCATAAATTTTACTTCTTAATTTATGATGAAAGAGATTCTTAAATTACAAATTAAATTATAAATCGAGTTCTTCTCGTTTTGAAAAAAGAATGAATTAATTATTTTGGTTTCAAAAATATATTATTTAATTTTTTTATTAGTGTTGACCAAAAATAATTTATTTTTTATTTTAAAAAATGTCTTTTTTCATATTTTTACTTATTTTTTTATTCTTTCTCTATTTCTTAAAACAAAAAATAAAAACATTGAAATAGAAAAAAAGGACAAAAAAATTAGTTTTTGAACCAAAGAGACTAATGGCGTTATTTAAGCAAATACATAATTAATTTCCAATAAAACTAATGATATATATATATATAAATATTTAAAAAAAACATCTAAGTTGTATGGAATATATTAAAGTCAATAAATTGAAAAATAAAAACTACTACAAAATTAGTTCCCATAAATTTTACTTTTTGATCCATCATGAAAGAGATTCTTAGACTGCAAATTAAATTATAAATTGGTTTATCTCGTTTTGAGAAATGAATTAATTAATTTTTTTGGTTTAAAAAATAAATTATTTAATTTTTTTAATCATTGTTGACCATGAA